GAATCGAGGGTTCCTTCCGACAGCTTTCGGTTGATTAACATCTCGCATGTGTTCTGGAATCGATGTTCCACACTTTCCTTCATATCGTTTCCTGCCCTCCTACAGGCCACTGAGAACTTTCATAATTATGACTAAGACGGTGTAACGAGGCTTTGGTTCAAGAGTGTCCTACGTGTGTGCAGACTCCCACGTCACAATACAAGTGCTGTTTGCACGAAACAAGCGACTGGAAATTCCGAGGAGAATTTTTAAAACACACTTTACCATTACAATATACATCTGAAACGAAAAAGGAAAGGTGAGATTTCAGGTTATCACGGTGGCCTGTTTAAAGTTGACTACTGGAGCTCTTGTTCCATCGAGTTCTGATGACGAAGGCAATAAGCACCTTTAAAACGTAGGCGAACTTCTACCATGCAACACGGTACAAAATCCCAAAAGACAGTCATCTTCAAGAAGGAAAAGATTTATCATGTTATAAGACACATGTACTCCAAATGCCTTTGTCACCATGTATACGCCACTTGTCTGTGGTTACTAACTGAAGCTACAAATACAATTTTGTAAATGTAATCTATAACACCACCGATAGCACAGAGCAATACACCAATTGTGGCTGTGACGCTGTGTGATCTAGGTGGTTGCCATATTCACGTTGAAGATGGATGTCACAAATTCCTCCGAAACGTTAGTATGGCCGCCTAAAATACCACATGCATGGCGTCACGAAACAGAATATCACGGCTTCGAGAACCTAAAATCTGAAGATAATTCACTTCACAGAACCAGAAATTAATTCTGTTTGTTTTTCATTAAACAATCTCTTTAACATATCTTAAATAAACCTTGCACACGTCAATGTTATCTGTACTTCTGTTATGTTACAGTTTAGTGTGAAGTATTTTAACCCATCTTGTTGTGAAAAATGTTACTGACAAACGTGTTTGATTGTGTTCTCTTATTGCATTGTTATTTTTCGTATTAAAAACACATTCCTGTATTTGACCTCATAAGAACGTCCAGACATTGCTATGCAATTAATAAATTAGCATTTTGTCATGGCGTCACAAACATCAACAGTCCGCCTAAGATTGCAATCTTAGGTCGTTAACAGACAACACTGATTGTATGAAGTGGGGTGCAATCGCTAAAACAATATGATCGCAACTATTTGCATTGCATTCCTATATACGTTAACTTTACAAAAATTAGCAGACCTATAGAATACACTCCAATGCGCTATAATTTCCAAATCCATTGTTTGCTATTTTACAAAGCTTCAGTAGATTTTAAGTTCGTTTACTTTAAATGTGTATTGTTACAAAGTCATACTGTAGACGTCACTTCAAAAAACCAAATAAAATTGTCCTCATATTTCATTTCGTTACAGATTCGCCATATCAAATCAGTTTCAAATAAAACTTTTACATTTCAACGAGGCTATATCCTGCATAGAATATATGCATTATACATAGAACTTCTCGGTAGAAGTGTATCAAACAAAATATTTACTCTTCTTATACAGTTTGTATTTCTGATAGAATTCATTTGTTTACACATGGCTGACATCACTAAAGTAAAGGTTTAATATCATAGCTTGATTTCCCCTGACTACAAGGTCTTTAACTATGTTCTTGGTTTTCCTGTCAGTTTTCACACACGTACAGGAAAAACCAAGAATCAATTTAACACACAGGTATGCCTCACCACAGACTTTTACTCCGTTAAAACTACATGTAATGACGTCCTTCACGAAGGACTAGATATGTTCTTTAAGCATGACCTCACATCTCCCTGTTACTCAACTTTTTGATGTCCTAGTCCTTACACCTGAAAATATAAGACATCATGATCCCACAAAGCGTTAAGTTAGTTTAAAGAATAATTCGTGTACCATCACTCCGCCTAGGAAACCTAGGACACTGAACACATTTCTATAGTCAACAGGTAGGCTACGAATTGAATCATCCTCACTTTGTAAAAAAAATGTTCTTATTACTAATTCTATTATTTCGCTGCTGACAATTAACATACGGCACGACTTAAGAGCAGATAAACGTTCTACAACTGTGAGCTGTGGTTTAATTCTTATGCATCCAGATTACGTCCATAAAATGGCTTTTGGGTGACAGGAATCCTTATGTTACATCGAAAAATCCACAGAATGAGATTTCCATTTTTCTAAGTGGAGTGGGGGTCCTGAGAAACAAGTACAAAATTCAAGATGAACATCTACCCCTACTAATGACCACGCTCTACTTTAAAATCTGAAGTGCGCTGTAAAGACCACGCCACATACGCGTCTCTCTCTTTCAGATATTGTAATTTGATCACCACGTCTTGCAATATTTACTTGCCTACACCTTTTCCAGGCTTCATTAAAAAACCCCAGCTGAATTGTGGTACGTTTGCTAAACAATTAGGAACTACTCAACTTATTTGCTTTCGCTCCCTGTGCAGTTCAGAAGTCCAGCAGTTGCGAGTCTGTATTCCACGGGGAATAGAACACTTCTGACGTTTCTGAGAATCACTTCCGTGAATTGGATATATATAAGCAAGTTACTAGGTCGTTCTTCCAGGATTTACCAACAAACATGGATTTACTTCTTTTGAGTAAAGAGACGAGAGATCAAATCCGAACCAGGGCCGAGATAGACGAGGAGAGGATAAAGGAGGCAGTGAAACTGTTGAAGAAATGGCTGGAGTTACAACCACATCTACCCAACGACTACGGTAATATTCAGAGTTGCCTTAGTTTCTGAAGTTCTGAACCTAAAATGATATGGCTTATCCAAAGCCTACATAATACTAGTTTTAATTTAACAGAATTACAGTGTACAGTGCTGGTTTCTTAGTAAAACTACAAACTACAAATGAAATGCATTACGTTTTGGAAAAAAAAGAAACCTCTACAATATTTTGTCGGCCTAAAGGTGAAGACAAATTTCTACAGGTCTAAACAGTTTTTCGTGTAAACTAGTCGTGACAAGTTTACTACGGTTTGGATATATTCGGAGAGGCATACACACGATTGGGCAAATTTCAATAGGATTCGAGAAGTTACTACAGTTTTAGACATATTGCAGTTTAAAACAGTGACACACGGGCGTACTACATCAATAACCACCATGCCACCAATACTTCACCTCACGATTTTGAGTTAGAGTCTCGACGTTACGAAGGCGTCAACAAATTTAGAACATATGTTTTCACAGTAATCGCCCATGGCACAACGTCTACACGTAATTTCATGAACATCTTTCAGAAATTTAGATACTATAAAAATGGCCGTCCTCTACGATGTACCTGCCGCAAGCAGTACTGACAGAAACAGATTATTATTTCTATATGCATTAAATTTATATATTAAAATCATAAAAAATTACTTGACAGGTTGAGTATGGCTTAAGAATATTCGGAGAAGTTTAGACATATTTGGACAGGCTTCGACAGGTTTCTACATGTTTAAACAGGTCGCAGCTTGTTCGTGTAAACTAGTCTTGACAGGTTTACTATAGTTTGGACACATTCAGACATATATGCTCATATGTGAGTGAACTGAATCGTACAACTCACTTGTGCAATTCGTTACAGACACGGCGAGGTCCACATTTCCACCTAACACTATAAGGGAGACAAAACCAAGGAAGGTTATTTGTGTACGGAACGTGTAGCTCCTACAACATGACGAAAATGATAACTAAAGTTCAATCGGAAGACATGAAGGAAAGATCCTTTTCAGTAAACTAGCCGTAAATAAGAAGATAGTGTTAAAACACACCTTGAAATATCGCATGAAGTTGTAGACTGTCTATTGTGTACAAAGTAATTAACCTTCTGGTAACCTAAGTTCGGAGAATTTCTTGACCCGTTGTGCTACTAGCAGCGTCTGAATTACTTTGCTCCATCAGTGAGTGATATAGTGAACATGATGGTGGGTGTTTGTATAATAAAGACAACGCACGCATAAGTTGAATATGGTTGTTACTAATAACATTTCAATTAATATTTACATCCCTGACTTTAAAAGAACATTTGCCTTCAGTTACTTTTCTTATTCTTGTGCAGATGAGACACGGATGGAAACATTGTTCTTCAGGTGCAAGGCTAGCATCGAGAAGTGCAAGCAGACTATTGACTTGTACTACAGCCTACGGACCGCCATTCCAGAGATATACTGCAACCGAGATCCGTCCAACCCATGGTTCAAACTGGCTACAAGCGTCTGGTAACTCATGTTCGGGACTTGATATTGCGGCATCCAACGCGTGAAAATAACCTTTGAAATATTTAAGTCTGAAAATAAGTACTATGTTACCACTAATTTTTTTATGAACTAGTATAAACACTCTGAATTATAATCCCCGACAACAAGCTTTCTGACACAGATAATTCCTCTCATTAGTAACGCCGTCTGAACGTTTGCGCACATGGCGGCAATGTTTCAGAGGGAACATACCACCGTGACAACCTCAAATCTCAGGTGTTTTGGTGTTTCAGTTGTTTCATACCACTGGAGCAGCTGACAGAAAATTATGACAGAGTGACAATTATAAAATGTCTGGACGGGGATCCATCGAATCACCACCCATATGACATGCTCAAGTTGCTGTTCATGATTGTGGAAGTCCGAACTATAGAAGATTACAACATGGCTGACATCTTTATTATAGACATGGACAACATCACAGTGTCACACGTAGTCAAATACACCCTTCCGGTTCTCAAGAAAATTGAAGTCAGCGCCATGGTAAATAAGCTTCACAAAGAGGTTTTGTATTGCTGAAGAATAATAATCATCCACTCCTCGCACCTCACAGAAAGATACCATCTAAGATTATAAGATGCACGTTCTTTTCGCTTGAAAACTAGGATTGTCGGCAGAATGATTCTCAGCCCTGAGTCTGTGTATCCTTGCAGAGATAGTTCGTGGCGTTCCTCATACCTTCAAAATATTGTTGGGTAACCTTTAGAAGATGCGTAGACCGCTTCCTTTCGCATCCTCTCTTATCCATCGTTCATTACTTGCCCTATCATTTCACTATACAGAAATAAATCAGCTGAAAAACCGTCGTTAAATAATTAATTGTATAAATAATAATTGGGGGCTCTTTTGAATACGGTAATGAACCATCCGTTTCCGTATCAACCACCTGAGCAACTATTAGGTTCCCAAGGACTCCATGGAGTTCGTTAACAGTACCTCAATTAACAAAACGCAAGGTCACGTGTTTTCATGGCCCTTCTATGGTTACCCCTGATGATAGGATGATTGTGATGATGATTACGGTGGCAGGAAGAGGGGACCTACAGCTTAGCATGCAATCCAATTCACGATGGGCGTGGTATCTCCGAATACGCACAGTTTCAACTTTCTTAGAGGCGGAAAAAGGTAGCACCATAGCCCCAAAATTGCGATACAAAAGTAATTTTTATTTTCATTTCAGAGTTACATAATACTCACAAGAAGCACTGAGCACTGTTTTTCGTCCACATAACTGTTCAGAAGTAGTACTGATAGTTTTATCTATTTCCTTGTAATTACAGAGAGGTTTTAAGGGTCGACTCAAAGGATTGCACTTGATCAACGCTCCTCCTGTCGTGGACTCAGCGGTGAATGCATTTAAGAGTATCCTGAAGCCTCAAATGGCCGAGAGGGTGAGTACAGTAACGCAAGAAATACCTGGTACATTCCTACATTCAGAAATAAAAGTTGGCAATGCATGAAGTATTAAAATTATTGACAGTCGGCGTAGTACATTTTATGGTGACTAAGAGTTTCAAAATTACTCATATTATGCAGTACGTGTCTTTGTAACATATTACAGCACAAATTACGGAAACAAACCTTCAATAATCCACCATCTACACTAAACGTCTATCAAAATAACTCTAGCAGTCACCATGATCTTATTTTTTATTTTTCTAACTCAGGAATTTTTTTGTCACACGTTTAACACAAATCCTACTCTAGACGAAACTCAGAGTGAAGAATAAAAATGTCGATTTTTGAAAAAGAATTGTTCGCGTTTGGAAGAAATATGTGTGTATTTAACGGTCTCTTAACGTTAATGACGTCTTCCAGTTCCAACCAAAATTTCTTCCACGATGTAAAATATAAAATTCATTGTAAGTTACATTAGTTACCCCTCACATAGTTTCACGCACTTGAATACCTAAGATCACGCACCAAAGAACAGTTTTTTTTAATTTATGCAATGTGAATCAGGCAATTTATCGGAACTGTCTTAAAACAACAGATTTGCATTTTAAACGAGTGAAAATCAAGGCCAGAGAGTTATAAACAATCACACGACTACACGTTTTCGCTGTTCTTTGCCTTGTCAATTCCACTTCCATATGGAAAGTGTATTAACTGCCACCACCTCATAAACATAGATTTCAGTGCAGTTCTTTCTTGTCTCAGGTACACGTACATAGAAAAGGTTCCGACAAGCTGCTAGATTACGTATCACCTAAGATACTGCCCGAAGAATACGGTGGAGAAGCTGGCTCGCTGCATGACCTCTGGAGTAAGAATTTCCGTCTCCATCTCAAGTTTACGTTTATTTTCCTCTTAACAGTAACTTTCTTCCCCTACATTTTAAATCATCAACCTCGGTATCAGCAGATGGCTGTCTCCTGGACTGTAGCGCCGTGTAGCGTGATAGAAGTTTACCACATCAGTAAACTAGGCGATGAGCGAATACGACTCATCGCCCGGCGGTACAAAGCAGAAGGCAGCCACCTTCGGACTCACCTCCGTGTGTCAACCACAAAAATAACCTCATTATCACTTCCATATTATCATTATTATTCTACTCCATTATCTTCTTATTTTACATCTTCTGTATTCTCTTACGTTCGTAGCAGCGTAGTAGCAGTCGGGCCATTTTCCTTCTAACAGGTTTCAACTTCGTGTTTTGTCCGTTTTCTTACTGAAAGAACACTGCTTTCGAATTCGCCTTCCGTGCGAAACTACGCGTCTCACTGGTAGATACTTGCATATAACTTTACTTTACACAGAGGGACCCCGGTTTGTGTATGTATAGGTTTCATAGAATTCTCAGAATAAACAGACAGTTTCCATAAACAGCGTTAACCAATCGATGTTTGTAATGGAAATTAGTTATGTTTTCTTTAAAGTCGGAACCGAATTTCTAAATATTACTCAGATCAACTGCGTGATTCAAAGCGTAAAATTAGTGCTTCTGATTTCAGACAACAGGCACATTTGCACAAAGTAGGTAAAAGAGCAGCATATAATTATGAAACACGCTACATCCCTAGCTTAAAACTCATGTGCCATTTAAGACTCGGAATGCATGGTACAAGATACACGTTCTATTTATCATCGCTATATCATTTTATGTTTATCAGCATAAACGTTTGACACAAGATACGTGTTCTATTTATCTCTGCACCATCATCACTACATGGTAGGTCCGTCGACCTGTGGTCTCAAATTTAAGCTATTATTTAGTACAAAATTAGGCGTGCTTACGTCACGACATTTGTTATTCTGACACTCGTGTCACCAAATCGCATTTCAGATCAGTTCGTAACGGTAATTACGAGAACTGCGTAAGCCTAAGTTTTAAGGTAGGCACGGTTTACACGATGTTAAGCCAGCACTGTCATTTGCGAAGACCTTCGACATCCGCTAAGTCGGGAAATTTCCTTACCAGCTAAATAGCTATATGAACTGCTGAAAGACGAATACTCGTACCTGCACAGTGGTTTAGTTTACTTATCCCACAGAAAGAAGCCCCATGTACAGTTATCAGGAAGCTAGAGGCTTATTTTGATCTCTCAGGCCAACATTACTGTGTAAAGTGCTGAAAAATGGAAGTCGACTGGTGGGAAACGCTGTTATGCGTTTGGAAATGTTGACATGGAACTTCTTTCCGAAGCGTAATTTTAGTTAGCAGTTATTTATTTTGTTAATGCAGTATCTGTGTTTCCTGCCAAAAACAGCTATGTGGAAGCAAAAACTAGGAAACTACAGAGAATGGTTCCTGGAACAAGAAAATGTCAAAGTGGATGAATCTAAACGTCCTGGGGAATCCTTCAACACCAGCGACCTCTTTGGATTCGAAGGATCTTTCAGACAACTTAACGTCGATTAGCAAAAGACCAATATCAAGATGTTCCAAATTCGAAGCAGTGTTCAGAAGCATGAAGGTGTATGTGGAAAAGATACACTGTCACTATTACTATTAATAAAATATAATATTAACGTTAGTTATAAATAAATAAATATTTCGTTTTGTAACTCTGAATGAAATAGGATAAAGTATGGGTGTTTATGAATGAAACATTATAAAATAATTAAAGTGTGCCGATATTATATTGTAGTCCATACCTACAGAGACGATCTTGAGACGTAGGAAAAAATTTTCTCTCAAATATGGAGTTAATAAAAGTAAAATATAAACCTTTACTAACTCCTTAAAATTAGTCTCTCACAATCGACGTAATGAACACAAGTTCCTCTACGAACCTACAGAGTGTCATAACCCAGAAAATCTACCACAAGTGACATATTCATACATCAAACAAGATGTCTTTGATTGATCGTACAGAACAGAAAAATGTCATTTTAAAGATCTACACAGACGATAAAGCAACAATCAATTATGAGCTGTAAGAATGTGAACATTATAAAAGTGATAATATTGGGATTATTATTTCCTTATTTGTTTACTTTGTTCGCCAGCATCCTTCATTTTTACTTATTCTTTCTTTTTCTTTCATTACTTCTACCTTTCTTCATTCATTTTCCTTCCTTTAATCGCTAACACACAAGCACCATCACTCATTGAAATATGTGATGTTATAAACAGAAGTGGATTTCCTACCAAAAAATTACTCTGACTCAATTCATCCCGATTCCCATATTCTTACTTGCTTTCTGTCACACAAGCATTTCCCCAAAATTTGAAGAACTGCTATTTTGCGACAGCAGACAGCTATGAACTAAGCGCAAGCAGTTTGCCTTCACGCCCACCACAGGTCACCTGTACTTTCATTTGTTTCGACACTAAACGATGCCGTAAGAGGTAAGCATTTCGTTTCGGGACGTCCCGAGTGGGAGCAGTCGCGGAAACCAGCTGAATTTTACGTGACTTTCCTCAGTCCCTCCATTAAAATGCTGTGATAGGACACAGACAGGCCACGACCACTCCCTGTCACATTCCTTCAAATTCATCTTTCACAATCATCCTAATACGCCAGATTCTATCAAATATGAATGCTAAAAGAGCGCCCTACTCGCCTTCAAAACGTTCAACTGAACATAAATACCGCTTATATTCACCATTCGGAAGACCTATTCGTAGATTAAAATATAAGAGTAAAACGATACTTAGATAAACTAGGCTTGAGTGTGTATTGGATGCTTCTGGTAATGGGTAAGAGCCGGTAGCAGACACTAATGAATCTTAGGGCCCCAGAAAAGATATGAAATGTTTGACTAACTAATGATACTGTTCACTGCAAATATTCTCATGCACACGTACATATGTCTACGTACTACATATCCAAGGTTGGATTATGAAATAGCTAGTAATGATTTAGATGCATGCCTTCGGGGGAAGAGTGGAAGACTCGAGCTGGGAAGTTAACTGGCCATTACTGGTAGGACCGGACGTAATGGTTCGACAGGCACATTGTATTCTGCAGACAGAAATCGTAATAGAGGGTCAGACATGACTGAGGTAAGTGGGAGGCACATGTGGGTGGAAACATTTAAACCGGTTTTCCGAAATCGGGTACGAATAGCTTGCAGAGCAGTCAATTTAAAATGTATGATGTATTCATCAAGGACACCAACCACACAAGTTTAATATTATTTTACGTAGAGAATGGACGTTTAGGCATATACCAGCACTTCGGAGTAAAACACTATCTCCACCCTTCTCTGAAGATGGTGGCAGTATGTTCCTCCAAAATGCTTATATCTACCTACAAGTCCATACAACGTTACAACCCATTGGACCAACAAAGACATCTTCACAGCCGTGAGAACCTAAAATCTCATAATATAAGGCACTATTGAGTTAGCTAATCTAAGTATTTCAAAGAAGTGTGTTATCTAGCATACCGAGAAAAATTATTTTTGTTTATTATACCAGTTTTCTTAACTCATACAACCACACGTATGTACGTGTCCAGCAATCCAACATTTGAATGATCTGGTAAATTTATGGAATTCGAAACAGCGCTACATATTATTAATTATTAAACTTGGTAATGTAAAACACTTTGGACAAAAAAGAGCCATACAAAATGGATTTAATATAAAACTTCGTAATTAGGTAACATGATGTTTATTTTAAAATGAAAATAACTTCTACTGCGGGAAAATACACCAGTAGACCAAAATGTAGGTTTTCTTTGCTACTCGATTTAATTAACAGAACATATTAACGAGATTTGGCTTTTAATATAAAATCTGGCCGATATAGCCATCGAAACTGCGTGGAATCAGTTCACGCAATCCGAGGGACATTGCAGCCTCGGGGTAGCCGTCATCTCATCAAACAGGTCAGGATGCAACTGGAAGGGAGTCAGTGATTGGCTAAGTTATCGAAGTGAGAGTGAAATTTCCCCTATTCTTGATCATTCCAGAGACACTCTACACCAGTGGTCCCCAACCTTTTCGTGCCTACGGGCACATTTGAGACTTTATGAGATCGTGGCGGGCACCAACCAATTAACAAAGCCAAATTTTCTTTTCTCTGCACAAATAAGATATGGACACCAAATAATGCACAAAACAACACGACGTTTAATGATACAATAAACCACGCAATCAACAATACGTAGTTTTATAAGTACAATTATAATTACTCAAGTGGGAAGTTAGTGTGATGTTTGGCACTGCATTTCATCGGCCAGTTTTTCAAATTTGGGATGGGCATTAGTAAGGCGAGATCTGTGATTTGATTTTATAATGTTCATGGTTGAACGGCCTTCATTATTCAGTATAACCTCTTTCCGTATCAATGCGGGCACCCAACGAAAGCCTTGGCGAGCGCCGCGTTGGGTACCACTGCTCTACACAGTATAAAAAAAGTCATAGCCAGGACCTCGAGGCTAATGCGAAAATTGACATTCAGATTATGAAGCAGCGATTAAAGCTGATTCACTCTTCGCCTACCGTTTTATTAGGTTACATAATGCCACGCATACACAAACATTCCAAGAACTTGTTTTCTTCGGTAATATGTCGTCACCGCTGTTCAATAATTGCATTCCCAAGCACATTACTCGATTAATTCACTAATACTGAGTCACTAAAAATTAATCTATGGAAACAGGCAGCCATTGTGTGACCGAGGCGAGCATGGAAACAAATCAACTATTTTCTGGCGAGATACAGCCGCTTTCGCAAGGCAAAATAACTTGGTGTTCCTGACTAATGTCGTTTCCTTCACGAGCCCCACCTACGTCGTGGGATTCGCATGAATTAAACATGTCAGAAATGCCTGCTGACCTCAGGGGCACACGTGCGTGGAAGGTCATTTTCTTGCTGTCCACTTCTCTTCATTACGCAACTTCATCCTTAGCCAGTCTTCTTTCACGTAATACGAAATTCGGCGAAATACGTTCTGGTCCAATGTTAGACTCAAGAATATTAAAATCACAAGAAAAAGAAACTACGAAAAAAGCAAAGATACAGAAGGAAACGGAGGGAAAAAATGTTCTCGTAGTTCGAGGTGTTAAAAAATTGGATATACAGACGAGGAATCACTACTGGATTAACCTTGTGACCGGAAAAATAGCGTCCAATTCCAAACCGTGAGCCAGACACTTCTACAGCTCGAAAAAAAATTTGATTCCGTTGCATGTAATGTTTAATGACAATTTAGATTTTAGAGAATATGCCTGTACTAAATTCAAAATCCTTTTCCCAATGTCTGTCTCTTACCCTTTGTCATTTCGGGTTATAACCACACATTCCATAAAGGATGGGTAATTTCTTGAGCAACTGAAAGAAAATCATCTATTAGAGGAAGCCTGCTCCAAAGAACTGTGTTAGGAATTGGTAAGGAGGCCGTCGTTACCTATTTAATTATGTTATTCTAGCATTCACCTGACTAAATTTACATGAACAATATGACGTTTGAGTTTCTAACAGCGATGAAATTGTCGGTGGTGGTATTCTGAGTTGTGACGTCGTCTGAGTTTCATTCAATACCAAAATTATCAACATTAAGAAAGTGAAGAATACAATCTTATCCGCACGCACACACGGCTTCAGCCATCCAAAAACCGAAGAGCGCAGTGATCGGTTTGTAGTGAGAATGAAGGCAACTGGAACAATTACTTTCTCAGTGTATCAAGGACTTTGCCCTAAAAACCTATTCTGATTTCAAAATTACGAGTCGCTTAGACATTTGGTAGGATTTCTTGGAGCAATACACTACGAAGCCTCTAACGGCATAACTCAGCTGAGAAAATAATTAGGGTAAAAAAATAAGTCGTAATCGAATTCGTAATTCCAAAGTGCAAGACCTAAATTTATACTGTGATGTCACGGTGTTCTGCCCTTTTTCTCTGGTTTTAAATTTGATTTGGCTCTGCCAGTTATTTTTAAGCTAAAATATTCCATGTATGCCGCATAAAACATTCGGAATCCACAGGTGAAGAGACTTGAGTTTTCACTCATTCTGTACACGTACGATTTGCATATATTAATATGCCTACTTACTATTTTGTTATAAATTATTATGTCTTGTTAAAGTTCGCAATAATTTTTTATACAAATCCTTTTTGTATTTTAACCTTTTTCTCATTCAGATCCACGTCCACAGAAACGGCCTGGGGTCCCTATTCCAAAACGAGTGATGCCAAACGAATACTGAGGGAAAGCCGGTTCTCTGAAGGACCTGTGGGGTAAGTACAACGGTGAGATGCACAGGAGACACAATTATCAGCATTGCTGAAGACAGACTGCTCACCTGAATCGCATGTTATTTCTACACTTACGCACTGAAATAAGAGCCGTTAACAGAGTAATCATTGTTACTTGATAGTTGCCAGTTTAGCACGGTGATTTTTACCACTATTTACATAGCATTCCTTTCCTTTATGCAACATGTTCGTTTACTAACGTGAAGTAACATTTATTCTACCAGTAATAAACAAAACCCATGAATATATTATCACGGTAAAACTATGATATATACTTATAAATGTGCTATGAACAGCTAAAATCTTTCATTCATTTATTGCCAGTCTTATTATCACTCTGTGAACTACGTTACATAAACTATCAAACTATCAAAATATTAAAATGTCATTTACTATGTTTAATTTGCTGAACAGTGCATATGAGACGGTTGTAAATCAGTAAAAAAAATCAGACATGTAACAGATATGAGAACATTCGTGAAATATGTTTTGTGTCGTCTGTTTTAATCTTTTACAGAGATACGTTTCTTCATATTTTAATTCAGACTACGTCCTGATTTATTTGTGTCTTATGCATCGTGCAGATGGGAGTATTCATAAATGTATATTTTACAGAAGTCTGGAAACAGAATCTGATAAAACACAGAGACTGGTTCTTGGAGCATGATCAGTACAAAACTGACGAGTCTAGACGGCCCCGAAAAAAGTAACAAGGATCTCCAACGACTCGATTTTTATCACGACAGCCTTGATAAATCAGTAACTGCTGCAGCGGAAGGGAGTATAATGCCGTCTTCACAGTGAAAAGGCATGCCACCGTTCCAAAAGTTACGCCACTCTTCATTCTGAGCTCTCGCTCCTGTGCATAATTACTCGTGAAACCTTTTGTGAACAGTGGGAAATATAAACGAGGTTTATGATCAAATTATGAGAAGACTTTTTTTTTACTTTTTATAAGTTAGTTAAAAAACTATTACATGTCACATCTACCTTCACAAACACTAAAGATGAAGGAGCATATTATATTGAAAGTTATTTTACCAGACGTTTTTGTGTGATTAAAAAACCTGGTCATTTACGTTCATAGAATACATTAAATTTTAGGTTTTCCGAATTAAAGTATCAGAACAACATATTAAACTAAAAAAACGAATTTAGCTTCCAAGTCACAAAATCATGCACAGACGAACTTCGTGGTTTATGCAATTCATCTTTTTTATTCAGGCAGTGAAAGTGTGAGTGATGACCTGAGCATGCAGCTTTGGTGGGGCAGACAATCGATTTACGTACATTCTTCTCGAAAACCTGCCACCAGGGAGACTGAGAAGTTGATGAATCTTAATAAAATAGGTCCTTTAGATGGGCGGTGTAACTGACCCAGAATTTAGTTCAAGGACGTGCTTTATCGTTACGAGCATTGGACTTTCGGGTTCTACCAGAGATTTTATTAACAAGTACTTACAAACAGACAAACCTGCCAGATTACTAGAACGCATAAATATTTGGCCCAATCTGATGAGAGTGACACGATCCTGAATCAACTCGGGAAAGCTGTGTATATTAAATGTAATTCAGACAATAGACTGAATCGAGCTTATTTAGTGTAATACAAAGAAGCCTATGTTAATGATAAGCATTCGGACTCTTTGCATGCGTTTCTGCAAGTGAGGAGAGAAGCAAACGGCCAGTAATAATATTTGGAGTAGTCGCGATCACTTCTTTGTTCAACAAGAGGATCCACAGAATGTAAGGTTCTAGCAACACAACTCAAAATCACTATGCTCAATAGCGCCATATTCATGGTTATTAACAAATTATTTTAAAAATAAATAAAACCACACATCAAATAAATATCCTTGTTCGTGGTGGTATTCAGAGTTGTGGCTGTGGTGGATCTATGAATACCACAGTTTTGAAGGAACATACTGTGTCCATCGTCAGCCCTGAAGATGGAGGCTGTATATACCTACAAGTTCACATGATGTCACAACTCATTAAACAAATATGGGTAACTTCATCTCCAAGATAACCTCAAATTTCATATAGATATTGTTTTATACTTGTATCTGCCAGTCACCGCACAGTTGCTATGCAGCAATCAATTAGTCGCTGGACCGGGCATTGTCAGAATGTTCACATGGCACAGCAAACATGAAGCAATCAAACTCTATATGCAAATTGTGCTGTAGTTTATTTACATAAATTACTTTTAAATTGTTTCTCTGAAATCTACAGAAGTAATTTTCTTCAATGACAACTATATATATCATTACAGTCTTCTAAAACATGCTACTCCCCCTTCCCGAACCTCTACATGGTGCAAGGAAAAGTCTGAAGGACAACCAAACCTTATAAGGAAAGAGACTTGCCCACCTCACATCATTTATCTGGAGGCAGGACGACTGTTCACAATGTTAATAACATCAGTCCTCTAAAGTGCAAAAAAATTATTTAGTGTACGACGATGTTCAGCATTTCCATGCTAAAATATTAGTAAACAAAAGCTTTTTATGTTTATAAATTTCCACGCAAAACATGAGTTTGGACAGAAATCAGTTCCATTATTAAGAGACGGTACAGGAGAGATATTTCACAAGTGTTTTCAAGTACACAAATTAAAACAGAAGAGTGAACACTTCTGAACAAATTACGTCGACCACAGCACTGAAAGGGTTCAGTAAGGAAGTCGATTATTTTCCTTTTCCTACGAACATTACCAAAATAAGTTTACATTAAAAAGGTCATATGTGCAAGAATTTATAAAGACGGTCTCAAGAAAATAAGACTTAATTAAGTGGACTAGTTAGTTTGTTACCATGGAGACAGTTAGTAAGGAAACAATAGATCAAGTCCGTGCGAAAACTGGATTAGATGAGAAGACGATACGAAGAGCAGTGGATGCAATAAAAGATTGGTTGCTGCAACAGCCCCATTTGCCGCATCAATATGGTAAGTAAATCGATTTCTCTCATTTATACATCAATGATCTATCCCCATAATAAACGCTCAGTCCAAATTCATACTAACAGCTGATGATATTAGCATTACCGTTTTGCATCCAGGCATTTACTCCTTACAAAACATTACGAATAATTTCATTGAAGTTCTTTAACTTACATTAAATGTTGACAGAAACAAACTTCATGGAATGATAAGTCTTTTCGTAACGTGGTAGTTTCAAAGTGCATGTGACTGTCTCGACGACTGTCTAATAAACCAGGAAAACAGTGGATAGAAACTGTTTGTATTAATTTTGGCCCAGATAAAGTCAATTCCTAGTCTCGTTACTGTAATTCGTGGATAACGTGGAAAAGTTTCGCATTCAGACACACCCGCACATACAAAATGAATTATTAAATATCAGAAAGGAGCGTGACGTAAAGGGAATAAAGTTATTCAATAAGTTTTCATCAAACATTTAAATTCAAATCACAACATTTAAAGCATTTAAGCTTGAGATGAAAAATGCCTCCCAGCTCGCACCTTCTACTTTGTAGCATAATCTATTTTAATCGAAATTTCTAAAGCTATGTAAATACAACTTTCAGTTATAAAAGTACCTAACAGTGGGCACCAAAAATCATATCCCATCACTCTGAAAGTAGATTACATTAGTTTTATAAATAAATATTCCTTCGAAATGGTAATTTGCATCAACAAAAATTCGATTCTATATAATAACGACTGATATTGCATTCCTACATGACTGCAATGGAAGGTTATTGAACATGAGGTCTAGTGAAGAAGACAGGCGAAAAAACTAAGTTTCTGCACCTTATCGTTGCTTGAAACCCGCCCAAATACTGAAGTCTCCGAGCGGATTCAACCCCTCCTCCGAATTCTAATGCAAAAGCCAACTTACATATAACTCCACATATTTCTAATCTCCGCACTAGACGGTGGTGAGTGGTTAGTTGTTAGCTTCGCGCTTCGGCAGTAACACTCCAGCAGAAACAAGAGACAATACCGATTGAATGAGAGGCTGGGTGGTGAGTCTCAGTGCAAGCCCAGACGCGATGACGAGGAGAAAAATCCCTGCGACTACTGGATCCAAACCCCGACCATTCAGCAAGTCACCTTACAGTTTTGTAATTGATTTAACGTGGTTTTCCCATCTGCATTGGTTTAAATAGCCTACTTAAGAGAGCACAGCAGAGTTTGCCTTAATAGACTACAAAATTTTGGGTCCGGATAATAAGCCTCCTTCTGATAATCAAAAGATAATCAAAACCAAAGCGGCACTGCTTAATAACAGCAGAAAGTGAATCACCCACGTGCAATAAAAAACACTTATGACATGCCAGTTGTTATATTGTGAAAGTTAACTTTTCAACTTTGCAGATGAGGGACAATTGGAGCGATTATTCTTACGGTGTAAGAAGAGCGTTGAGCGAGCCAAGAATGTCCTAGATATGTATTATACACTCAGGACGGCATTGCCCGAGATATTTAGCAACAGGGACCCAGCACAGGAGTGGTTTAAAAAAATCACAAGTGTCAGGTCTGTAGGAAACGACGACGTTTACATTGCAACTGTTATGACTACAATAAATGGTAAAATAAAATGAAGGGGTAGAGTAGTAAATTTCCTCTACTTTATTAATATACACACCCAGATAGCATTAGTTGGCTATTTACCCCATTGCCAACCAGAATGTGTCAGAAATTTTACCCATGCTTTGAATTTCACACTCCACTTTTTATTTTGAAAATTGTGTACGTATCTACCACAAAAATATCCACAAGAATAAGAAAATTATTTTAAGTATCTATATATTTTATTACTTAGGATACCACCATTCAATGAATTCGGAGGCTGATTTTGTCTATACGAAATCACGGGAGCATTTTATTTGTTTTTCAGAGGCTGTCTTGAGTCTTCAGGTAGAAAGGAAAATATTCTTACACTATAGAACGTGTTAGATTTTGCTGTATCTTATGAAACAGCACTGTTGCTGAATCAGATGTTTTACACCTCAGTACGAGATAAACAACAAAAAATTAGCCACGGAGCGGAATGAGTGTTTCAAGTGGGAGAATAGGTAGACATAAATGTCACAGCGAAACTAGGCTAAAAGCAAAAAAAAAAAGTCGAAGGAAAATCAGTCTTTAAGAAATCAAATCCTTTTTTGTTTAGCGATATATAATATGTTTCTATTCACAGGATCTTCTTGCCATTGCCTCAACTGACTGAAGAATTTGAGCGCGTCACAATATCTGCTATAACTGACCGAGATCCCGACAAATATTCGGTCTACGACGCGGTCAAACTCTTGTTCATGACCCTCGACGTAAGGATGAGGGAAGACTATTACACGTCCGACGTTATCATCATGGATGTGAACAATTTCACAATTGCCCACGCCGTAAAGTACACCATTCCGATATGGAAGAAGATCGAAGTGTGCGGACTTGTAAGTATCGATGGTGCTAAATATTAAACTGATTTACAAGCCAGTCTTTTCTTAAATACACACAGTCTACTGGGGACTTAGAAAAAACAACAAACATAAAAAATAACTTACGAAAAAACAATCTTTCTTCTCAACATCAAAATAAATCTTAAGAGACGTGTGGGCCGGAAGTATGTACTGGACTGAACTGGCTCAAGACAGGATCCGACTGTAGTTTCTTTGTGAACACGAGAATGGATCTCCTCAGTTACACAAATGATCGAAAACTGCTTCACCAGCTAAGCTTCTTCAATCGAATTACATTTACACACACACACATGTTTGGTGGTACGCAAAGCAAACTGGTCTTTTACTTTATTTTGTACGTTGTACTGAAAGTGTTAACATTAGCTTCAACCGCCAGCTCTATCCAATATGCAATATAAGAACATGAACCTTTTGTCATTCCAGAGAGGATTTAATTCACGACTCAAAGCGATTCATGTGATAAATGCGGGCACATACTTGGATACAACAATCAACATGGTGAAGTCATTACTAAAACCAAAAATAGCAGCTAGGGTAAGTTGCATAAATTTAAGTCAAGGTACAACCCGTCTCCATTACTAAAATCAGCTTGTTAATGCTTATAATGAGAATCATACAAACCCCATAAATACAGTCTCTAAAATGCAGTTCTTCATTATCATTACTTCTATGATAGGCTAAAATTTAATTAAAACAATATGTATTCGTCATTATTAAAGAACGTTACGCATGTTCATTTTAAATTCTAGGTCATACTTCATCTCACCCGGGCGGTGTACTGTCTAAAAATCTGTGTGTTTGTTTTATAGTGAATACAATAATTGTTTCATACAGAAACACTGTCCGTCTAGAGGTCGAGTTATTGGCTCGCCTACACCCTATAGTGTTACATAGTTACTAAACCTATTCCTTTTTGTAGATTTACGCACACAGGAAAGGTTCGGAATCGCTAAAACAACATGTGCCCCTGAAAATTCTACCCTTAGAATATGGAGGCGAGGCAGGACGAATGTCTGATCTATGGGGTAAGTCAATTAGCTTTATGTAGTACAGAATCAAAAGTACTACAACATGTTCAGGGCTATCAATTCCCTTCATTTATGGTTTAATTCTGTACCAGTTTGACTAAAATATTTCCCGTCAAGAACGATACGACAATCTGCAGTGTTTACTGAAAAGCAACTTACAAAAATTAACACGTTTTTTTCAAAAAGACGCACACATAAATTAAAATTAAGTAAAGCTGTGTAAGAAGAAATTATTTAATTACTTATCTGTGCTTAATTAAAGAACATAACGCATTATAAAAATCACGTTATCTCAAAATCCCTCAACAGCAGCAAATGATCACCAACCAAAGAGCAGTGATTATTACACAGACAGATGATCGCTAGAACAGGCAAGCACGACTATCCGTTGTTCGGTCGTTCATTCCTAACATTTCCCGTTGTATTACAGCGACTTGGGTGAAGAAGTTGGAATCCAATCGGGAGTGGTTCTTAGAGCAAGAAAATCTCAAGTCTGATGAATCGAAACGTCCGGGGGAAAACATTGACACTGGAGAGTTGTTCGGTTTCCAGGGATCCTTCAGGAGACTGTCCCTAGACTAACAGAAAACAATTTAGTGAAGCTAGCCTGAGCTGGAGTTTCAATTCAATTCAATTCAATTGAAACAGTTTAACTATAGTGATCTCGATATTCAGTCACCATCTCGCAATACCAAATATCTTACATCCAAATGACTGACCAACAAATAAGAACATTTACAGAACTGTAAAGTGGTGTAACTGGAAGAACAGTATTCGGAAATCTTTGTGCAAAAGCATCAAAATAAAATGGTCACCTGAGAGACCTAAGAGTAGAAGAGATGACAATGTTAGTATGGCTGCTACCCACGAAGCAGCAATGAATTAATTTGCACGGCAGACGTTCGTATCCTGAAAATGAGATGGTCACGTGTCGCAGATTCAAAACCACTAGGCGATAAAAACCAACAACTTCAGACCACGCAGATTTCTATTAAAATTACAATTAAAGTACCGAATGGGAGAGAGTAAACTTAACGTATTTTACTAAACTGTAATTACCTACTTTTATTACTACTTTAATAGAAACGTAATTATTAATATTTGCAATAATTAAAATTATGTTTTAATCGTTCATATTTATAAATACAAACACGTTATTTTGTAACAGCAATGATACGTTTTTTTGGAAGGAAAAACAGGATATGAACAGAACGCTGGGAAATAACACTTTTTAAATTTAACTAAATTCCATTAATTTGAAAATCTCTTTTGATTCCTCAAATAATATCATTTCCATTTGCTCAGTCTTGTCAGGAAACAATTCGCCGCACGAACAATGTTTTAGACAAAAATACAAATAAATCAATGCATTCATTTAAATTCGTTAAAATATTGTCGATCCTTTAGTGCGACAGGAGGGTGGGAAATTTGTGTAATTACGGGCTGCATGCTGTATGTTTAGTACATAATCAGAAGTACCAGATGAAGGATCGTGGCTTTAGCAAGGCACACGGCAAACACGAGACGAGAAATGCATACAAATTTTAGCCAGATAACCTGAAGGGAAGAGACAACTTGGAGAACTACTTTGCGCTTCTCATCCCCTAGATAATTCCAGGGTAGTAATCAAGAAAACTGGTCTCCAATGGGTGTTCTATCTCAGTCCTACTGATCTACAAACATATAATTAACCGAGGCATTAGTTTCAAACAATACCATTTACCCTTTCAATTATATTAGCATACGAAATCATCAAGATCTTGTTCCGTAGTTAATTACTTAGCAGAAATATCACACACAAATGGTCTTGTATGTTGCGTTCTGCATGCATTTTCATGCTTCGTAACATTATACTCACAACTCTGTTCATCCACCGAAGATATCTTCAGTTCTATTGGAATTCAATCTAAATGTATAAGCCCTACAGAACATGGAGATACACAGCATTTCCAATGCATGCAGCTCTGATAGGGACATTGTTATGTAACTGTGCTGAATGTATTATACCGTTGCTATAATGGTATTGGGACGTAGAGTCTTGTAAGCACATTTTATTCATATGAATACAATTGTCCAGCGCATTCATATGCTTATGACTTGGCGAGGGTGTCTGATTTAACGGTTACAATACACAGAACCTGACGTATTCACTGTGCACGGAGTATATTCGATTCAATCTCATCAACAGTTAGAGGATTGTTTCCATGAACACGATACATCACACAGTTTCAGTAATTTATGTATCACGTACGGCCATCAGCTGTTTGTTTGATTGATTGTGTAATTGTGAATTGTAGCCTTTTACTTTAAACAAGAACACACATGACAAGTTCTTGATGATGATCTTGAAAATATTTAGGCTACAACAGGACAATTCTGGGTGCAACCCAACAAAAAATTTCGTGACCTCTGCAAATCACCTAGTACTGTTATAATAGTAGTGACATGTAGATGACTACGGTGCACATGTATGGCGGAAACAAGGAATGCGTACTGAATTCTTATTTAAAAATCTCTTGAAAAGCGGCAACTTAGAATCGCCATGAAGATGAGAGAGTGAAAGAACCTTGGCACGCAAGATGACGAAATGTGAATAAAAGTGACTTATGTGCTGCTAGCGTGAACTCGGCACTGAACCTTCGGTAGGAACTTCTTGACTAGCTTAACGACTGTCAGATTGTCAAGAACTACTGAGCGCCATTGATATAGTAATGTTATGACGATTTTTTTTAAAACAGACGCGTTTTGAAGCGGTAAAGAAACTTCCTGAGAAGAAGAAATTCGAGTTTTGAACTTACGAACCGAGGAGAGTCACATCCTCAGGTGCTGATACCAGATAATCAAACGTGCAAGGCAAGGAGATCTACAGCGTCCAGGCGTTTAGTTTCCAGAGAAGTTCCATGGACCGTGTTCTACAGAATCCCACCCAGTCCAGACCAATAAGTTATATACTTCCCACAAGCATGAGACAAATGGGCGGACTGCCCACGAGACGCCGCGGGGATGAAGAAGAAAATCACGACGGAAAATAGAAAGAATCCCTCTCCCCCCTCCCCAATCTCCATCCATTTTTCTGCTATGCTTGCAAACTGTAAAGCCTGTATACCGTACACACAGCAAAACTACTTGCATCAAGAGCAGTAGCAGTGGAATTATGTACCCTTCTTCTGATATTCCGGCTATATATTTACTTCACTTGTGTCCGTACTAAATGATATTTTGTCTTATAGGAAATATATTTAAGTCTTCTGTATTGTAATTATTCACTATCTCACCCAACCAATTGCATATTTTTATAGTTGTTAAAGAATTGATTCTAGCAGGCAGAATCCTGATTCTGCATTTTCTGTTGAAAACCCAAATATCACATCCATGAAACAGAGTGGGGCCTGCCAGTACCTTATAAAATCTAGTATGCTTCCTTCTAAATTCGTATTTACGAATTCCCAGGAGATATTTCCCCATGATTTCTCATGACTCCAAATTCAATGATCAGAACTGTATAATGTTAATTGTGTTGCACAATGTAAGAGAGATGGGATGCCAATTCCTTGCGAAACCAAATTCTTGTCTCGTCGTCCTTGAGTAATAAAGCGCTGAGATACGTCGCTTTAGGAGGAAAGATGGAGAATTTTACAGACTTCATACAATACCAAAACTGCGAGTATAAGCATAGAGAACAACATGGGGAAGCAACACAAATCAACTGCTGGATCTCTATCCTGCTTAGAAAGGAAAAACGACCAACATTTTCATCCCCCTCCATACTATACAACCAACCCTCCCCAGTTTCAGGGTAGAAATAACACCCCCAACCCATTTCACGACATGTGTTTTTATTGCAAATTCCCTTTTTTATTATTTGCTTCTTCTGTCCTAGGACATACACTAAACCCATCTTCCATTCTCAGTTCCTGCGTTGCAACACAACAACAAAGTCACGACCAGCCTCGTACCTTACTGTTGCATGTGAATAAATACACATTCTAAAAGATCTGTTCAAAATTCATTTGTAACAGAATAAACAGGGGCCAAAATATTTTCGTAAATTTTTTAGACTCAATAAAATTATTTAAAAATTGATATGGTACATGGGACGTAGAGAACTTTTTCTTTGAAAATTTCGATAATGTTGTTTGAGGCGTGGTGTGGCGTTATAAAATGGCCTGCACTGTGCTGCAAAAATACGGGAACTCCGTCAATGACGCCCCGGTACATCGGCTCCCATTCGTCTGATATCTAATTCAGATATCGGTGGGTCTAATGGATTTTCTGACTGAGTTTCTTTCCGGTTCTTTGTGCTCTGTGTCTCCGAGGCTGATAGTATCTTAGAAAAGCGCATAACAGCCCTTCTATTCATTGCCAGTACCACTGACATTCTTCTGAACACGTCAAAACTCGATACAAACTGTTCAATTGAAAAGTGCTCTTATATAACATATCTGTCACATTGATAATCCCTAGATATTGCTGTGTGCCGATATTGGCTTCTTTCTTAGTATTTAAGAACACTGTTTAAAACACAGACATTGTTTAGCCTCTATTGAGATGAAGGACGATTACGACAAATACTGTGGAAGAAATGAATAACGTATTTGAAGGTACTGTTCTTGCAGTGGTATTGAAGGGCCAAGGCAAACCACCAACTCCATCAAGGTAGAGTTTTGAGGTCGCTACGCAGTAAAAATAGCGCGTGTCTTATATTAAGATATCTGATGTCACCAGCGTACATTTCTACACTCAAGGCAACTGTACAAGGTGCCTCACTGACTACCTTCGTGGTACACGATTCGTTTCCGAGCTCCAAATACATATTGGTCACATCAATAAATTCCCTGCTCTTGTAGAAGGCGAATATTCACGGCCCACAACAGAAAATCCCGCCACTACACTACCCTGAGCACAGTTCACATCTTCGCACTGGCCCTAACCAGGGCGTTTCAGATAATAAAACTACTGATTACGTTTGCTCCACAGCCTATAGGTTTAGCGTCACTTATGATTAAATCTCATGTAAATTTTGCAGTGAAGCGCAGCAGTCTTTCTTGAGAAGCTGATGGTGGCTCTACTTATTTTTTTATTTAGTGTTCTGTCTGACGACAGGTCCATATGAACAGGTTCCTTCCATCCTTTTCTCAGACTGGGACCTGTTCATATACGTTCTTGGCAGATGATCCAGAAGTGGTTTGCCATTGCCTTCTTCTGTGTGTGAATGGAGTAATTGTTGGGATGCCACGGAGGAAAACTCCGGGCTGCCTAGACCACGGCCTTGCCCACCACAAGTTATAAATTCGGGCACCGCCAGGAATCGA